ATGTACCAACCCTAGAGGAATGGTTACTCAAATCTTTGGAAATTGCTCAAATGGCTAAACTAACTGACCAGCTAAAAGATAAAGGTATCGATGACTTTATAACAAACTGGAAACCCTTTTTTGGCTATATAGAAACGATATACTCAATACAGATGAACATTTAGAGTTAATAAGTAAGAACTGAATAAAATAGAAACAGAGACAAGATGAAGGAACCAAGAAAAGAAGAAGACATGTAAATAGTCAAAACTCACTGATTAGTTAGAAGGAAACCATTTTTAAAAATTTGTGTGTGTGTGTGTGTGTGTGTTTGTGGCTGTATGGTGTTGATCTTTAGGGGTTTTTTTTCTTTTTCTATTTTTTTTTTATTTCTTTTTTTATCTGTATTTGCTCTTCTCATTTTATGTTTGTTAGGTATTTGTGTTAAATTTTATAAGCTAATGAAGATTTATATTAAAAAAACAAAAGTAGCAGCCTGCAGGCTGATATGTGTAAACTGATTTGGCAATGTTTGTGGGCACTGCACTGGTTTTCAGTAGGTTTCAGAGTATAATTCAAAGTGCTGGTTTTAACCTATATGGCTCTACAGGGTAAAGGTTCAGGATGCCTGCCACACCATTTCCTGCAAATTGACTTTGGCTGGCTTCTCCATTCTACTTGAGAAGGGATGTTCCAGATTCCCTTAGTATGCGAGGTGAAGGAAGGGGATGGGAACCTAGAAGCAATGCTTCTCCATTACTGCTCCAGCCTTCTAGAATACGTTCCCAAAGGAGATCTGGCTAATCCTATTTTAGTCATCTTTTGGAAAGTAGTTAAAACATAGCTTTTCAGACAGGCCTTCGGGCTAACATCTATACAGTGCTTCTGATCCAACTGGCAGTAAATCATTTTAAATTTTATTGGTGTCTTTAAAGGGTTATATTTATGGCTTCTATTTTTATTATTTGATTTGTAAACTGACTAAAGATGTGTAATTGTCATGGTACAGAAATACTGGAAATAAATAAGAAATCAGTATCTGCTGCAAATAGCTTTAGAAAATTGGGCGGTAACTTTGCATTTTAAAGCCTATCATGGAAATGTAAGAAAATACTGGGAAAGATAAAGCAAGTAGGACACTACAGTGCGGCAAAAAAGTATTTAGTCAGACACCAATTGTGCAAGTTCTCCCACTTGCACAAAAGATGAGAGAGGCCTGTAATTTTCATCATAGGTATACCTCAACTATGAGAGACAAAATGGGGGAAAAAATCCAGAAAATCACATTGTCTGATTTTTAAAGAATTTATTTTTAGTCAGCCACCAATTGTGCAAGTTCTCCCACTTAAAAAGATGAGAGAGGCCTGTAATTTTCATCATAGGTATACCTCAACTATGAGAGACAAAATGGGGGAAAAAATCCAGAAAATCACATTGTCTGATTTTTAAAGAATTTATTTGCAAATCATGGTGGAAAATAAGTATTTGGTCACCTACTTAGTCAGCCACCAATTGTGCAAGTTCTCCCACTTGCACAAAAGATGAGAGAGGCCTGTAATTTTCATCATAGGTATACCTCAACTATGAGAGACAAAATGGGGGAAAAAATCCAGAAAATCACATTGTCTGATTTTTAAAGAATTTATTTGCAAATCATGGTGGAAAATAAGTATTTGGTCACCTACTTAGTCAGCCACCAATTGTGCAAGTTCTCCCACTTGCACAAAAGATGAGAGAGGCCTGTAATTTTCATCATAGGTATACCTCAACTATGAGAGACAAAATGGGGGAAAAAATCCAGAAAATCACATTGTCTGATTTTTAAAGAATTTATTTGCAAATCATGGTGGAAAATAAGTATTTGGTCACCTACTTAGTCAGCCACCAATTGTGCAAGTTCTCCCACTTGCACAAAAGATGAGAGAGGCCTGTAATTTTCATCATAGGTATACCTCAACTATGAGAGACAAAATGGGGGAAAAAATCCAGAAAATCACATTGTCTGATTTTTAAAGAATTTATTTGCAAATCATGGTGGAAAATAAGTATTTGGTCACCTACTTAGTCAGCCACCAATTGTGCAAGTTCTCCCACTTGCACAAAAGATGAGAGAGGCCTGTAATTTTCATCATAGGTATACCTCAACTATGAGAGACAAAATGGGGGAAAAAATCCAGAAAATCACATTGTCTGATTTTTAAAGAATTTATTTGCAAATCATGGTGGAAAATAAGTATTTGGTCACCTACAAATCAGACAATGTGATTTTCTGGATTTTTTCCCCCATTTTGTCTCTCATAGTTGAGGTATACCTATGATGAAAATTACAGGCCTCTCTCATCTTTTTAAGTGGGAGAACTTGCACAATTGGTGGCTGACTAAATACTTTTTTGCCCCACTGTAACATAGGAGCTTTAGAATGAACCTGGCATAAACATTGAAGTGAAAAAATGTAAATGATGCCTCCAATGTAGATAAAGGAGGAATTGGAAAAGGGAGATAGGGAATACACCTGGGACATATTCTGTAAAATTCAAGAGGTACAGGTGAGAATTCTGAGAAACATTTCAGAGGCAGCAGGTAATAATTTTTTACAATAGCTGTTTTGCTTCCAGAAGTATATTTTGCTGAAAATTTTTGCTATTTACAAAAGATTTACTGTTGCAAACTCCTCCACTCTCCCTTAGGGTGTACCTGTATTTGAACTGCATTTGTAGGCTGTTTTGAACACTACTACTATATTCCTTGAAGAAGCTTTAGGACTTACTACTTAAGAACACTACCCCTTAAGCTTTCTAAGTAAATTAGGCTGAGAGGTTTATTTATTGAATGTATACTCTGCCAGCAAGTCGTACTGAGAGCTGACCCAAAGAGTCTACATGATTTAAGTTCAGCCTCTAATGTAAGTATATCAAACACAGTAGGATTGGAATCCCAATGACTAAATACACGCTCATGAAAAATTCTGTCAGTTACAAGTTTGTACCTGGTGACTAGAATCTGCCAAATCACCACCACCTGGGGGGATCTGGTACATTTTAAATTGTTTTCATATCTTAGTGATTGGGAAAAATCTTTTATAATTTCTCCTTCAGCCCAAATTGTAATAGGTAGAAGTATTTTTGCCAAAGCTGCTAAGGATTCACTTAGGTACTAATGAAATTTAGATAAAGTGAGCAACGTGTCTAAAAAAATGCTAGTCCAGATTGTTACTTATATACAGTACTATGATGTGATAAAAAAATGAATCTCTTTCAAATGGCCATTGAGTCATATTGGCAGTCAGTAGTTCTTTTCTTCTGCATGGGAGAAAATTCCATTAAGCCCCAGCCATTACAGCCAGTGGTTTAAAATACTGTAATGGGTTTTACATGGTTGGAAAAGGGATAAATTGCCCTGCTTCTTAAACAATAGCTGTGTTCACTATTAATTTATGGAAAAAATCAGTGTTATTTGGTGATTCTGACAGCACTGGTTGCTTTTCAATGTAACAATAACATACTGGACAAAGAAAAACAATTTTATTAACCTTCTTACAGTATAGTCTTCTTATCCAACACATATGGAGCTCCACTGGCCCAAGGAATTCGACAAAAACAAGTATATTATCTAATATGAACTACGGTATATACCAAGGACACGCTGAACTATAACACCACAAGCTAAAATGGATTTGATTAATGTATGTCTCCGTTGTGCCAATCCAGCAAACTGCTTTGACTACACGTTGTTGATCCTGCAAAGCTAAGTAACGTCAGTATGGCCAAAGTTGAAAAAGACATTCAAAAAGTAATGCCAAGCCACTTCCGTATTGTTACCCCCAAAAGCGTCTATCGTGCATGACGAGTTGAGTTCTAAACTCGAAATTTACTGGACAAAACGATACATGCGACATCCCCTCGTTCCTTTTGGCCTAGTCCAGCCGCGTCGAATAGGAAAAGGGACGCTAACCTCTCGCGCCTAGCATTTGTACCAAGCCATT